TCGATTTAGTTCGTTTTTAAACTAGAAACTCATTTATTTTGAAGGACATTGTCAAAACATACTTAAACACAACAAAAATAAATCTAAATTGATGTAATTTCATTTGTTTCATTCGATCTAGTTTTTTTTGAGTGAAATTTTGTCGAAAAAAATAGGACGAAAAACACAAAATATTGTCGAAAATTGCAAAATTTTGCTAAAACAAATCAAAAAAACATCCAAGTAAGTCATTATTTTTGCCTTTATCAAGTGTTTTAGAATGTTTTTCAACTAAAAATGTAAATATCGGGCGACTGTAAATGATTTGGTGTCAAATTTAAAATTTAATTTGGCAACCTTGACTTTCAAATTCAAACGTCAAACTTTTATAGGCAATTGTCATTCATTTGCTGTCACCTGAAATATTCTGATATAAAAAATTTAGGAGGATTACCACTAATTCAGTGTCGTCAATAGATTTTTGTCACCCGGTATTTCATCCATTTTTGAATTTTTCGAGCGTTGAAGACGAAGATGCAGCATATGAGGACGATTCGGAAGACTTTATAGACTCTCTAATGAAGTGTTGCACCCAATAAATTCAATTTGCTTTCAGTTTTTTCAAATCACAAGATTAATTCTGTTTTAAATGCGGATAAAGCACATTTTTTTAAATGATGGTTTTTGTCAGCCTTATAACTCGCTTGCAGTTAGTCCCATAACAAAAATGCAAAGGACCATTTTTGTAGGAAATTTTGTTGGCTTTAATTTTGATAAGCAGGCAAAAACCGTTAGGAGTAATAGTTTCCGAAATATAAGCAAAAAAACAAAAAAGACACCTTTAGCCCCCTCCCCCTCTTCAAACTCGCCCCCCACCATCGGGAACTTTTGATATATGTTTACCCAAGAATCAAGAAAGCGTTTAAAAAAAGTCCAACTCTAGGATTTTTTTCCACCGATCGCCTTATTTTTGTCTAATTTGACTAGGTTCTAGTGGTACCGCGAGAAAGCGCTACTTACTTCACTCAGTGACGGTTTCTTGAGCCCCGTGGAGCGTGTCACTCGCGTGGGGCGCGTCCTGGTGATGGACCCGGTGCGAGTTAAAGGCTTCGGGAGTAGCCCCTCGCTGCTGGAGTACCCCGAGCTGATGTCCTCCACATGCTGGATCCGGGGGTCCACTTCGGGGAAGTACAAGGGGCTCCGGCGACGGCGCAACAAGCGAGGGTCCGTGATCACCACCTCGGTGGTGTCATGACCGTCACCCATGTCATGACTATCACTCAAATCACTCAGACTGTAGCTTTTACGCAATTGGTTCACCAAGCCGCCGCCCCCCTGAAAAGTCCAGTCTCAACTCGAGACAACTTAACAGCAAAAGCGCATGCAAGGGTAATAAAAAATAAAACAGTATCAAAATGATTTATTAAAATGGCATGCAATCACAGAGTGTAAAACAACAAAAACCTAGTCGCTAAAATCATCATTTCGTTTGGTTTTTTTAGTTTTTTTAGTAGCATTTTTTCCCTTTTTTGCGACTTTCCCACTTCTAGTTTTGGGCACTTCGTAAAAGTCCATTTCCTCGTCGTCATCGTCGGAATAAAGCTCGTTTAGTTGTTGTGCCGCCGACTGTGTTTTTAGTATACCATCAACCTGATCCTTCTGTGAGATGGAAGTTTGCGAAAGGACAAGTACCGGATTAAGGTTCTGTTTATTGGAGGTGAGAAAAAAGTGCAAAGGCGTTAAGTGATTAGACAATTGGGCAAAAAAACGAACCTTCAGAGCAGTTTGCATCAAGGCTGAGACACCCTTAGAACCCAAATCGAGGAATTGCTTATAGCTTTGTTCTTTGGCTTTGGAAATATACTCGTCGATTTCCTGTTCCCTGCTACTCAAAGCAGGGTGAACAAACTTTCGATACAGTATACTTGAGCCTTTAGTAGCAGGAGACAGTAACCAAATGACTAAAATTATTTTAATTTCATAGTAAAATGGTAACCAACTGAAAAAAACATCGGTGAAGGTTTCAGCGCAAGTGAAAAGCGCGAAAACTATCCAGTACATCATCCATTTGACCTGAAACAAAGTCAATTCCAGGACTAATTATAGACGAGTTAATTCCAGACTCACATATTCTTTAACATTTTTCGTTTTCACAGCCTTGTATGAAGCATAAGCGGGGTACAACGTTCCGAAGAGTAATCTGAAACCAGGGTAGACAATAATATAAGTGAGAGCTTTATGACTGATTGTGATCAATGCAAGTGTCAAGAACCCCGCGTGAAGTAGAGAAGGCTTAACATTTAACAAAACACAACTAAACATGTTTACTGCTGGATTCTGACTGGCGAAGCGTCTCGCAGGAAAATAATTTTAACAGGAAACATTTCGTACCTTTAAAGATAAAGGACAATCACTTCACCGTTCCAGTAGATAGTGAAACGAATTTCCGGTTTTTCCCTTTGCGACATGGCGATCAACTATTTTAAGACGACAATGAAAATAATATGTATTTCGGGAGGAAATGCCAAGGGACTCGACGATTTATTTATAACAGAGCTGACGAGTTTAAATACGAGTTAAAACAGCTGATCATATGCATATAGCCCCACTTCTACATTTATTATTTAATATCCCAAAACGATTGGTCGTAGAGTATTTTAACTTTATTTTTTTCAAGCGTTTTTGCGATTTAAGAATCGATCATTTTTACAATTTACTGAAATTTTCACCTTCAAAAACGAAATTTTCCTCAACTATTCTCAACCGTTTTTAGATGAAAAACCTGTTCAATTTCCAACTAAAGAAAATTAAATAATAGGTAATAAAAAGAAAAAATATTAAGAAAAATTTAGTCATTAATATGTATTTAAGTATAGTATTAAACTCCACTCAAATGAATTACTCGACTAACTTTCTCACTAGTTAAATAATATACTATTAATTTAATTTAATCGATCGAAATATGCCAAACAATTAAATATACATTGTTTTCATAATTTTATTTCTGGAACTAAATAAAATAAAAATAAATCTCAAAAATAACAGATTGGACAAAACAAACTAAAAGAACTGGTTTCAGAACGATTTTTTCAATAACTAAAGCGAATCTTATTAAAAAATAAGTTTAACGGAATAACATAAAGCAAAAACATTGATATAAGTAGCTTTCATTAAAGAATATGTTGATTTTGGTTTTAATTCTACAATTGGAAATCCTTATAAAAAAACTAAACAAAAGCAAAAAATTCATTTAAGAGAATTTTTGCACAAGCCAAACAATTTCTTAAAATTAGCAAAATTAGAATGTGTTCCGATTTCCCAAATTAATTCAAAAAAATCTCAAAATAAACAAAGTTTTACTTAAACAATCTACCAATTTTTCGACTTCTAGTGTTAAAAAAGTTCTTATTAAAAAATCAGTTAGATTTCCGACATTAATTCAAAAAATATAAACAATTCTTTAAAAAGCCTGATTGAATGAACAAAAGCCAAAACAAATCATTTCAATTCTTGTCTTTACACATAATTTCTCTAAAAATTAAAGTTTTTTTAATTTATTTGAGCAAAATATGTCAAAAAATACACTGTTTTTAGGATTTTTTGCATCGGTATGAAAAATCTCTTCATTTAAAAGCAACTAAAATTTAAAAAGTTTAAATACGAGTTAAAACAGCTGATCATATGCATATAGCCCCACTTCTACATTAATTATTTAATACCTCAAAAACGATTGATCGTAGAGTATTTTAACCTATTGTCTAGAATTAGTTATTTTCGATACAAGTGCGCTGTCAAATTATATTTCAGGTCTGAGACCGTATTTTGCGACACGAAGCAAAGCTGAGTGCTGCAGTAGAGGTCGAAGACCTGAAAAATAAGACAGCGCACGTGTATCGAACAACATTTTTCATGATCGTCAGGAAAATTTCATAAGAAACGTAAATTTATTGAAATTTTGAGGTTAATTTTGACAGATGTCAAATCAAGTATATAAATTGAAAAATTTAAATATTTAGTTATATACCACTTTTCACCTTATGTATCTAAGGGAACGATGATAAAAACCATTTTTCAAGCGTTTTTGTGATTCAAGAATCGATCATTTTTACAATTTACTGAAATTTTCGCTTTCAAAAACTCAATAAATTCACCTAACCACACGTGTGTGATATGAAAATAACGTAAGAGGTTGTGCGATTGGCGGAGAGCTCTAGGCGTGTCTGGCAAATTACGCGTGATTTATTTTCTTCACTTTCTTCACCTTAATTAAGCAGGTAAGTATTTAAAATTAATAGATTAATAATTGTCGATCTTAGATCTTTAAAAGAAACATTAAATCGTTTCATTGAAAATTATAGTGTTTTTTTTTGTGATGGGGTTGCGGTGCCGTAGGAAAAATAGTGTTCAACGCACTCACTTTCCGTGCTCGTTATGTAATATAGTATTTTACGTCTCCAAGACCTTTAAAAAACGTTATATAGTTCGATTTTAAAGTTGTCAATTTTTTATTTTTTTGTCGTGATTTTGGTCTCTAGAATTGGTGGTGGCCAAAAAAAATTTTTTTTGTTACAACAGCATACATATTGAAATAACTTTAATTTTTATTGGTTCTTTATACAAATAACAAATAATAATAATAATAATGGCATGATAACGTCATGCCATGTCACGCTTGACGCTTCAAAAATTTTCTATTTTGATCACAATTACCGTTATTTTACGTTTTTTAGGTCGCACTAATTAAATATGTAAATCATTAATCATATACTAAACATTACACTAACTTCCTTTATCTAGATTTGAATATAATAATATATTCGTTCTCATATTAATGTGCATCGAAGTAGTTGTTGAAAAAGATCATTTTATGTTTTTAAGGTGGCAATCATGTAAAAATTCAAACAATCTTAACCTCAATCTTTCCTAAAAATTATTTTTCAAATAAATGTGTACCCCACGTAGCAAAAAATAATTAAAATGAACAACGTAATTACCACAGAAAGATTTTTGTCATTATTGATGTGATTAAATTTGTTCGGAATGACATTAATGACACTTTTTGTGTAAATTGGCCTTTAAATTAAAGATGCATTTAGACTTCTACAACCTACTTGATACACATTAATATAAAAAAAGGTTTCCTGAATATGAATATTACCAACAAAGAGAAATTTTGATCCTTTTTCCAAAACTGCTTCCTACACAAGTCATTCAACTGGTGCAAAATCGCAAAATTATTCTAATTCTAATGTTTGCCTATTCATTATGAGCAAATAATGAAATTCCGTCCGGTTTAAATTCTAATTTAATAAAAAATATGATTCCGAAATTTGTACCAACTGGGTCATAACACACACAAATCAAGGTTCTTGGGGGCTTCCTAATATGGTGAAACAGCTTGAAAAATAGCGTAAAAGGTAGGAAAATTAATGTGCAAGGTTAAATACGTATTTATCTATTTTTGTACTAAAAGGGGGCTCATTTTTTTTAATTTTGTGCTTCATTTATTTGTGATAAAGACAAAGAGTTCATTAATGAAACAATAGCACTTGAGGTAGTAAAAAATGAGTCATTTTAATAAAACAATGCGGAAAAACGGTTATAAATATCAAGATAAGAGGTTTTGTTTGGGTAGCCAGATGATCGTATTTTGAACAAAGTTGGATGCAGTTTCTTACTCGAAATAAATACTTACATGACTAATCTTGATATTATTGAAGATATCATCTTAAAATGTCTGTTTTTTACTAAAGAACACAATAAAAAATTAACACTAATCAAACATCACTCAAGGTAAAAGAAAAATAAAAAGCCCACTGTCATTTGTCGAGCCAACCATCACAGCCATCTTTCTGGCTACTGCGTTCTCACTCTTTCTGATCTGTCATTTACCATATCCCCACCATGGAGCAATGTTATTGAACGAGGCTTGTTTTCTCTCATTTTCTTTAAAAAATATTAATTTTCCCATCACTTTTCACAAAAAACACCGATAAAGTGCATTACTGTCATTACTGTTTGTCAAGTTTGCAACCCTGTGTGTCACTCACAAATTACAATTCTCAATTTTGAAACTTAAAAACTGTGATTTTGAGCAAGAAAAAGAAATTTACAAAACAGGACGTTTTTCCCAGCTTTTTTTATCTTTAAAACATAATTTTTGAATTTTTGGTGTAATGTTGTCGTTATTTAGAAAAATCAAGTCAGTGTGTGTCATTGTGTGAAACTGAAATCGAAAATTTTTGTGCTTGTGAAAAAAATGTTTTGTACTCTAAAACAGTATTTCTGACTGGATTTAAGGTAGGTTTACAAATTCCAAATTTATTTTTTGGTGTTCAAAACTTTGCACATGTTTTTATACACCGGTTTTGCACAGGTGTATTGTGGGTCATATAACGTGGAGTCTATGATTTTAATATTTTTTACAAAATAATGATTTTAGTCTGTTTTTAAATAGAAATTAAATTAAAATATCGATTTATTTTGAGCTGTTTTAGTTTCTTGTAACTCATATTGTTGGTAGAAGCGTCATAAAACGCAATTAATTTCTATCACAAATTCACACACTTCACTTTGCAATAAACAAAAAATAAAAAAATAAAATGCACTAACCTTTATGGCATCTTCTTCTGCTACTTTATAGCAATTGGCCTCTGCTTCTTAAACGGACCTACTGAAAATAAAGAAATACAAAATCAGTTCAATGTGTTATTAAATCAGTTGAAAATATAAAAAAAAAATTAAATGTGATTTTTCTAACGTATTGTTAACTTACCCTTTAATCCGGAACCTTGTAGCACGATTGCATTCTCCATTCCCCTATTGGCACTCACTAATCACTCAAAGTTTTAAAAATCGCGCACTACTAAATGTCTATTAGACACTCGAAAATACACAACACACACTCACTATGTGTACAGCAGTACAGCCCCCATTTCAACACAATTTCGCACTGAACCACCAAATAAGTAATAATTTATCCGGACAATTATTACAATCCAAGTAACTCGTATGGGAGCTTGGCTCAGACTAACTAGTTATTGTAATAATTCCCCAGAAACGGCACAAAAACTCATGTTGTAACAGTACCGATGTAAAAGGCATTTGTTTGGGGCTGCGTAATCCCGCCATTTGCAACGTCACAAAGTGATTCGAATATTACCCAATTCCACTGTCATTTTTCGCTTTTTACACTTGTTTACACAACGAACTGATTTTTAGTTGTATGATTAAACAATCCTCCGACTTGCCTAACATGACGTCAAGATGCTTGCATCTGATTTGTTCTTAATTCCGTCTCAAATGATAAAATTTTCCTAAAATTTGACCAAAATACGCAGAAGTGAAAATCACTTTAAACAAAAATTTGAATCACCAACTATTAAATTAATTAATTAATTAAAGAATATACGTAAGTGTACCTTAAATGTTTTTCGTTTTATGTCAATTGAAAATAGTCGTTTTTCAGTTTTATTGAGAAATAATTTCAAGAATTTTTGCTACTAAACAGAGCTAAACTCACTTTCATTCGGTCAAACCGGAAATGATTTTATCCATTTTACATAAAAATAAATGCAAAAAAGTGGAATGAATATTTAGATTTTAAGTTTCTCAGTAAAAAAACATTCTAAATTTATCGAAATCAACAAAAATAAATATCGTATCTTAGAATTAATTTACTCAGTTTCTCAGCGAAAAATGCTATAAATCCATTGAAATAACGCGTTTTAAGCTTAATTTTGTAATTTTCTCAAAGAAAATGCTTAAAATTCATTGCAATATACTAAAAAAAATATTTTAGGCTTAATTTTTTTGACAAAATCTTTCGAATTTTAAAGAAAATACTCAGAATTCTTGAAATAAGCAAAATTGAAACTTATCAGGCTTAATTTTTTTAATTTTTTACCTTCATTTGACAAAATCTTCTGAATGTCAAAACATTCTCGTAGGAAAACGCTCTAAATTCATTACAATAAGCAAAAATAACACATTTCAAGCTTAGTGTTGCAATTTTTTTACCTCCTTTTGACAAAATCTTTCGAATTTTGAAACTTTCTCGAAGGAAAACGCTCTAAATTCAATAAAATAAGCAAAAATGACACATTTTAAGCTTCATTTTACAATTTTTTTGTTTTTGTTTTTAATTTTTTTATGGTTTTATTTATTTTACATAAAAATAAATGCAAAAAACTGGAATAAATATTTAAATTTTAAGTTTCTCAGTAGAAAGCATTCTAAATCTATCAAAATCAACAAAAATATCGTACTTTGGAATTAATTTTCTCAGTTTCTCAGTAAAAAACGCTATGAATCCATTGAAATAAGAAAAAATAACGCATTTCAAGCTTAATTTTGTAATTTTCTTCTGAGAAATACTCTAAATTCATTGCAGTAAACTAAAATAACGCATTTCAGTCTTAATTTTATAAATTTTTTTCTCTTTTTTTGATAAGATCTTTCCAATTTTAATGAATATGCTCAAAATTCATTAAATAAAAAAAATTGGGACTTTTTTTACCTTCTTTTGATAAAATCTTTCGAATTTTGTAATTCTCTCGAAGGAAAACGCTCTAAATTCAATAAAATAAGCAAAAATGACACATTTTAAAAGCTTAATTTTACAATTTTTTACCTTCTCTTCACAAAATCTTCCAAATTATGTAATTTAAAAAAAAAAACGCTCAAATTTTATTGAAACATGCAAAAAATAACACATTTCAAGCTTAATTTTGCATTTTTTTTGTTTTAGCGATTTCGGAAAGGCATGTTGTGTAAATATCTGATTTGACCGGAGATGATTTTATCCATTTTCCATAAAAATAAATGCGAGAAACTGAAATAAATATTTAGATTTTAAGTTTCTCAGTAGAAAACATTCTAAATCTATCGAAATCAACAATAAAAATATTGTACTTTAGAATTAGGTAATTTTCTCAGTTTCTCAGTGAAAATCGCTATAAATCCCTTGAAATAAGAGAAAATAACGCATTTTAAGTTTAATTTTTTAATTTTCTTAAAGAAAATGTTCAAAATTCATTAAGTAAGCAAAATTGGGACTTGTCAGGCTTAATTTTGTAATTTTTTACCTTCTTTTGACAAAATTTTCTAAATTTTAAAATATTCCCTTTTTACCTTCTTTCGAATTTTGTAATTTTCTCTAAGGAAAACGCTGTAAATTCCATGAAATAAGCAAAAATGGCAAATTTTAGGCTTCATTTTAAATTTTTTTACCTTTTCATGACAAAATCTTCCGAAATATCGAATTAATTTTCTCAGTTTCTCAGTGAAAAACGCAATAAATCCGTTGAAATAAAAGAAAATAACGCATTTCAAGCTTGATTTTGTAATTATCTCAAAAAGAAATGCTTAAAATTCATTGCAATAAACTYAAATAACGCATTTCAGGCTTAATTTTACTTTTTCTTTCCTTTTTTTTTGATTAAAATCACTCGAATTTTAAGGAAAATGCTCATTAAATAAGCAAAATTGGGACGATTTTTTTCTTTTCTTGACAAAATCTTCCGAAATTTGTAACTAAAAAAAACCTCTCAAATTTCATTGAAACATGCAAAAAATAACAGATTTCAATCTTAAGACATATCCTGCAAATATCCGGTTTGACCGGAAATGATTTCATCCATTTTCCATAAAAATCAATGTGAAAAATTGGAATAAATATTTAGATTTTAATTTGTTTGTCAGTAGAAAACTTTCTAAATCTATCGAAATCAACAAAAATATCCTAGCTTAGAATTATTTTATTTAGTTTCTCAGTGAAAAACGCTATAAATCTATTGGAATAAGAGAAAATAACGTATTTCAAGCTTAGTTTTGTAATTTTCTCAAAGAAAATGCTCAAAATTCATTAAAATAAGCAAAATTGGGACTTGTCAAGCTTAATTTTGTAATTTTTTACCTTCTTTCAACAAAATCTTTTGAATATTATAATTTATTTGAAAGAATATGCTCTAAATTCAATAAAATAAGAAAAAATGGCACATTTTAAGCTGAATTTTACA